AAAACATTTCTCCTCATTTAACACTGTTATGTGACTTTATGGGCAGAGGAAAATTCTGAAGCCATTTATGGAATCTTTAATGAGAGGGCATTGGAGTGAGATTAAGATTATTTTTCATTATAACGCCTTGATAAGGTTGTTCCAGTATTTTGTATATATCCTCTTCCGTGACATTATCAAGATCGTCTCCTGCTGTGCTACACTGCATAATACTTCCCTTTCGCATGTCAAGTGTAAATGCACAGCTCATACCAAAAATAACATAAGTATGCTTTCCTAAGGATCTTTTTTGTAATGGAAACATACATATGTAAAATGTAGGCATGGATATAGTTGTTCATTTGGTCACAGCTGTTTTAATAAGTGGCTCTATCTAATATTCATAAAGATTTTGCACACATAATGCTTTTTTTCATTCTGAGCCGCAGACACCAAAAATCCCACAGGAAGTTGTCTTTGTAAGTGTTGTGGTTTTTTAGTTTCCTGTTCAGTTACATAGATGACTAGAAAGGAGATAAATCTGTGTAATCAAAAGAGACTCTTGGTTAAACACTATTGTAACTCTAAAGGAGAATCTTTAATTTACCTGTATCTTCCCATATTGATCTAGAGGAATTATGTTGACATGAATATATCCTGATAATTTTTTTGTTGTTCAGTGGATAAACTCTTAATTGTTAAAAGTGATTCTTTGAGATTAAGCGTTATGCTCTCCACTTGTTATAACACCCTTCTCCCCCAGAAAATAAACTATAGGAATAGAGTTTTTAATTCTTGGCAACAAAGTTTTACATTTATTTTACAAATGACAAAAACTTTCTTTTGGTTATTTGGAGAAGAGGAAATACACTTAAAAAATACTTTCTATAGTTTAATTTAGATATTAAAATTACCACTGAAAAATTTCAAAGGAATATTATTATTTATTGAAATTTTTTTTTTATTGTTGGGGCTTCATTGAGGGTACAAAGAACCAGGTTACACTGATTACATTTGTTAGGTAAATCCTTCTTATAATAGTGTCCCACCCCCATGATATGGGTTTTTTTTTGGAGACAGAGCCTCAAGCTGTCCCCCTGGGTAGAGTGCCCTGGCATCACAGCTCATAGCAACCTCCAACTCCTGGGCTCAAGCACGTCTCCTGCCTCAGCCTCCCAAGTAGCTGGGACCACAGGC